TTTTTTATTTATAAAATATGTAAAAAATTATATTTTACAATTTAAATTATTTTGTGAGAGCCCCACGTAAAGGAAAAGGATCTCTTAACTCTATGCAAGATGGTCAAAGAGAGGCACACACAAAGGTCAACATGAAAAAAAAAAAAAAATAATCCTAAAAGCCCAGTTCAATTGCATTTCATTATCATCCCACGGACTTCCCGCTTCTGCTGTTCTTCTCTCTTCCCTCCCTCACTAAAGTCTTACATAATCCATATCCTAATTCCTATGATTTCTTTTCCCTTAATAAAAAAAAAAAAAAAAAAAAAAAAAACGCCAAATCCGAAAAGAAAAAGAAAAACATTTGTTAGCCGGAAATTTAATTCATTTCTATTTCTGTAGCTCATCCAGTCGAAGATCTTTTCTGGTCCGTACCCTCAACTTTCTCGGCATCCAAACAGCATCACACTCTTCAGATCTGTAAGTGCTCTCTCCTTCTTCTCCCTCGTATCGGTCATTTCTCTGATTCTCTACCTCTGATTCTGCTGCAAAAACGCTAATCTCGTTCTGGTTTTGATGTTTTTAGCTGTGTTTGTGGTTGATATTTCATTGTTGGCTCGTAATTCGATCGAACTGCGTTGATTGCAGAATTAATTTCAAGATGCCTGAATTGTGCAGTGTTTTGTTATTCATTTTGATATTGTTATTCTTCTCTTTTGTCTAATGCTTTTGTCTGTTATTTTGTTCCTTGACCTGAAATTTTTAAGCATAATAGCTGTCAATGCTGTCAGATGCTTGATTGATTAGTGTTGTGATTGATGTTTGCTTAGTTTTAGGTTTTTTTTTTTTTTTTTTTTGGGAATTTATATGCTTTGATGTTGATAAAACTCATGCGAACTTGTTTCAGGAATCCACAAATGAATCCTTGAATTCTTGTACTTGGTTATTATGAGATCAGTTAAACTTTAGCATCTTGGATTCCAAATTTTTGTAGTTTGGTGACATTATGGAAAAGCTGAACTCCGAGGACATAACTGAACCCGATTCCTTGGCTGTTGAGAAACAAGCGGGAAGTACTCTTGATGTTAACATAAAAGATGAAGGAGAACTAAAAAGGGAGGTGCAATCTCTGACCATATGCAAGGATGTATGTGGAGTGGATAGTGATAATGGACATGAAGACATTAGCGAAAAGGTGGGTCATAGCGAGATTGTGGAATCTAAGGCTACAGAGGAGAAGTTAGACAATGGTATTGGAAACAATGACACAGGCAATATGGATAATAATAAGGATTTAAGTTTGAAAGCTTCAGGTGAAAAGTTGGATGAACTTATGGAACATGATGAAAGGATGAGTAAAGATGGAGATCGGGATTCTAAAGATCAAGAAGAAACTGATGAGACTTTAGATGGAAATATTAGGGGAGAACAGCCAGATCCTATTTTTGATGGGATAGAGGTTCCTGAGATGGAAACTAACCAGGATGACGGATCTGCTTGGCCTGAGAAGGCAATGAAAGTTAAGAATTTTGTCAAGCAGAAGAGCATAGTTGCGGTCACCAGTGTGCTTCGTCGCGTTTCTGGAAAAGGATGTGAGGTTGAGCATGGTGCTCCTGTTAATGAAGATGTAGGGGGGTCTGATTCTCAAAATGGTGAAGCAGCAGAGGTTTCTCCTAAAACAACAGAGAAATCTGTTTGGAATCCCCTTAGCTACATTATGTCACGTGCTAGTGATGCTGAAAACAGATTAGAACAGGGGGAGAATATCTGCGAAGAATCACTGTTACCTATTGCCATGAAAGGAAGAGTTATAGTTTATACAAGGTTAGGATGCCAAGATTGTAGGGACGTTAGGTTGTTTTTACACAACAAAAAACTTAGATATGTTGAGATTAACATTGATGTCTACCCTGGTAGAAAGGCAGAGCTAGAGAAATTCTCTGGCTCTTGTACTGTTCCTAAGGTCTTCTTTAATGAAATATTGATGGGAAGCTTAAGTGAACTAAAGAACTTAGATGAGTCTGGCAAGCTTGCTGAGAAGATTGATTACCTTGTTACTGACGAACCATCATTTGAAGCTCCCTCACCACCTCTTTCTGGCGAAGATGATGTATCCAGCAAGGGACCTATTGATGAGCTAGCTCTAATTGTCCAAAATATGAAAGGCAATATTGTGGTTAAGGATCAGTTTTACAAAATGCGTAGGTTCACAAACTGTTTTCTAGGTTCAGAGGCTGTGGACTTCCTATCAGAGGATCAGTACTTGGAAAGAGAAGAGGTCAGTCTTCTTAATTTTACATTTTCCTTAGAAAACTAAAGTTGACCTTCTTGTTGACAATTGTTTAAGCTTGGCCTCGATTACTTATTCCTTTTTTTGTTGGGAGTTTGAACCACAAATTTGCTGAAATCACAAATTTGGACAGTGATTTCCCATGATGCATGTACATTAGCTACAGAAAAGCTTTACTAAAACAGACAAGAAAAAGGTTTGTGAAACTGTTGCCTCTTTTGGACCTTTATTTTTTTTTCCCAAAGAAGGTAGGGATGTCTTGTTATTCTAGACAAAGAAACTTAATGCTTTTAAATTTGCTGAGCTTATCAAAATGTAGACCTTGCTAGTATTACCTTGTAATATGCAGTTGTAGCCTTTCACCGGAGTTTAAAAAAGTTTCACAACCTTCATCCTGCTGTGCACACTCCTTCCTTTTCATCTCTTCTCTGTTTGTGCTGTCAAATATATATATATATATATATTTTAATGATTCTTTACTATCAACTTATGGATTGTGAATGTCAACTCTTTCTCACTCATAATTCCTTATGATACTATAGTATAGTGTTTTAGAAAGAGTTTACATTTTGTAGGGTAATTTTTTTTCCCCTCCACTTTAGAGAAGAAGAGGGTGGTTTTTGCCTTTTTGAAGTATTTGGTTTGAATGTCCATTGAATGGTTTGAGGAAGTTAACAACTTCTGGCTTGCATTCCAATTGTAAGATTATCGTTAGTCATTTTTTATTTATGCTCTGATGTGATTATATCACTGCATAATAATCCTGCCCCTTTGTTCTTAATATTCAAACAGGCAGTGGAATTTGGGCAGAAGCTTGCCAGCAAACTCTTCTTTCGACATGTCCTTGAGTCAGTTCCTTGATTATACCTTGAAGTTGTGTCATTTTGTTAGAGTAATACTTTTGTTATCCCTAATGCTCTGTGTTGTTTGTGATACTTTGCTACTTTATATCAGTGAGAATCTATTTGAGGATGGCAACCACTTGTATCGGTTCTTGGACCATGATCCTATTGTGTCATCTCAATGTCACAATATTCCGAGAGGTATAATTGAGTTGAAGCCAAAGCCCATCTCAGAAATTGCATCCTCAATGCAATTTCTGACATATGCAATTTTTGAAGCTTATGCATCAGAAGATGGAAAACATGTTGATTACAGAAGTATCCATGGAAGTGAGGAATTTGCAAGGTTTGATGCCTTTTATTTTATGATATTTCACAGTCTAATCTCTTTATAGATTTATTTGGTTTTGATCTTAAAGTATTAATTGTCTCTAGAAAATCTTGTGTAGGTATATAAGAAAAGTTCAAGAGCTCCAAAGAGTAGAATTACAGGATATAAAAAGGGAGGAAAAGCTTGCTTTTTTCATAAATTTGTACAATATGATGGCCATCCATGCAATACTGGCTTTGGGCCATCCTATTAGACCCCTGGAAAGAAGGAAGTTGCTTGGAGACTTCAAGTATGTTATTGGTGGGTGCACATACTCACTCTCAGCTATTCAAAATGGTGTTTTGAGGTGCAACCAAAGACCACCATACAATCTTTTGAAGCCATTTGGTGCAAATGATAAACGTTTAGAGGTAAGACAGTCATGCTATTTTTTAAATTATTTTGACGTTCATCTAATGCTTTGTGAATGAATAACACAATTATACTTGATATTCTAAAGAACCCATCCAATGGTTCCTGTTTGCAGTCCGGACTGCAAAACAGGGGACTCTTATTTTTAGTTACCGTAAAAGTATTTTTCTACATCTCATGTGGGTATTGACCACATTTATTTGTCAGAACTTTGAAGAAATTTAAAACTTTCACCTTTTCTGTCTCATTTTATTGAATGCACTTTCGTTTTTAGGACATCTTCATGTAAATGACCTTTTAGAATTAAATTCCTTATATTTTCTAATGACAAAACCCTTATTTTAAATTTTCACTTAAATCCATCAAACATTAATATTAGAGAAAAGTTCAAAATTTCTTGATGTGAAAAGGCAGAAACTCTAAGGTATATTTTTTTAATCAAATGAAACTATGTACCAAGTTGGTGCGGTCAAATAGTATGAAAAACAGGAATTGACCTTATGCTCCTTCCTTATGACACTTTCTCTAGTTATCCTATGCCCCCTTAGCTTGGTTGGTGAAGAGCTGGATTAGGTTGGATGATTCAACTTAAAGAACATTTGCTTTATGACATTTTCTTATAACAATTTCTTTTGCCCTATTTGCTCAGTATATGGATATTCTCTTTGTTAAGGGATAAAAGCTGGAAACCCCATCCCAAACCTTTTCTGTTGTTCTTGGCCTTGTACTTTTCCTGTTGTTAAGATGGATGAGTGTTGGCTCTGGGTAAAAGAATATGAACTCAGTAACCTAAGCAAGACTTTTACCCGTCCATTGATTTTATTTTTCTTTCCTTTCTCCACATCTGAAAAGAAAGGGGAAGAAGCTTATGGATAAAAGCAATCTCAAAGCATAAAAGAGATGGAACGGTTGACTGTGCCTTCAATTGGTAGTTGGTATGTTGGTATTGTTTGTTAATCTGGGTTGGGACTATGTGGGGCTGAGTTGGAATATTTTCCATTTGTCAGTCTAATTCTGAAGTGTGTTATTATGAGGAAGGTTTTTTTTTCCGCCAACATTTTTGAGGAAGTTCAATCCAGTTAGTGCTGCTACCTCTTTTGCCAGGTTGCCATCCCCTATCCAGAGCCTCTAATTCACTTTGCCCTGGTTTGTGGTAACCGATCTGGGCCTGCTCTTAGATGCTACTCTCCTGAAAATATTGATAAAGAGCTGATGGAGTCAGCTCGGAATTTCTTAAGAAGTGGAGGACTTATTGTCGATGAGAAAGCGAAAGTTGCATATGCCAGCAAAATCCTCAAATGGTAAGTGATTTGAACAGAGCCTCAGTGCATTAATTCATACATCATTCTAATTCACCAAGAAACTTATGTTAAATTCATGCATACACCCATTCATATACACATCGATGCTTTTAAATACACACAGTGAAAGAGGAATCTGTAAATGAGAATGCCATGCTTTTCCATCTTAATTAGGACTTTGGAGAGATCATAAAGGTCTTGATTGTAGATTGACGTAAGTTCTGCTCGCTTTGGAATCAATAGGACTGAAACTTGAACATGAAATTTAGAATCCTTCAACAATGAAGATCGTAGCTTATTGATATAACTTGCAACTATTAAGGCCCTTTGCCTTATGGTATAGAAAATAAAACACGGACATAAAAATTGAGCTTATTGATATAAATTGCAACTGTTCAGGCCCTCTGCCTTATTGGTGTTGAAAATAAAACACGGACATAGTCTTTTAAAAAAAAATAAAAAATTCTTCTCTAAAGAAAGACAAAACTATTTCAATTTTCAAGTTACCACTTGGTGTTGTACGAGAGCACCCAAAAAAGAACTCGAATAAAATATGAAAGAATTCCTTCATACATTTTTAGTGGAATCGATCTGTAGAATTATACAGAGGCACATGTTCAACCACACACAATATACTTTAGCGAACATTACTTCTTTTGGAAGGAGAGGTTCAAGGTTCTAGTCTCCTTCCCTCCCATAACCTTTTAAAAATACCTAGGAACAAAAAACAACAAACTATAGGTATCCTCATTACACACTTGACGCTGGTGCAACTGCGTTTTGCTTCCTTGGTTATCAAGAGATTTATAAATTTATGTGATAGGCATGTAGTCAGTTTGTAACTTGTGTTTCTTGTCATGTATTCTCTTCTTGCTGCACAGGTATAGTGTGGATTTTGGCAATAATGAGGTGGAGGTATTGAAGCATGTCTCAAATTACTTGGAGCCAGGTGATTCTGAAGCATTGCTGCAGTTGCTAGCTGAAACTGAGTTGAAGGTGATATATCAACCTTATGATTGGGGTATGAACTGTTAGGGTTAGACTTCAGCTCTTCTATGTACTATATGATTTCATAGATTTAGAAAGGTTTTGTGGGAGAAGAATTGACTATAATGTTGCAAAACCTTATACATACAGCATCATACATCACATATAGACATCTTTCTTCAAAATATCAATTGAACGTTTTCTGCTTACTTGAACATTAGAAGTTCCTATTTCATTACTTTTAGAAATGTCTTATTTCAGGGCAGAAAAAAAAAAAAAAAGAATATACCTTGCCTCCATAAGTTTCTTGGTGTTTTATTTTATTATATTTTGTTTTTTATTTCTATTTTATAATCAGCTGCCTAAGTTTCTTGGACAATTAATTGTTTGTATAACTTATCATTTTGCAATAGTTTAAGATGAAAATTGTGTACAGATACAAACTGCATTTGTGGTCCAGTCTACAGGTATGCTAAGCTAGACCGTCTTCATCATAGTCTGACTTAAGTTTGGCCCCAAGCCTTGTTGATCCAGAAGCTCTGGCTTATTACGTGCAACTTAGAGAATAGGTTATTACATCTCTTGAGCACAAAAGGTGTGTTATTTGCAACTTGTTCCATCTTTTTTCAAAATCACACAGTCCCATCATTACCTGCTAAGATCTTGTACTTGTCCTTCCTTGTAAGACTTGTGCACTGAAAACCATTAGCCTCAGCAATCACTTGTTGAACATGATTAGCAACTTCAACCCTTGATTTTCCTCCACTGCTACATGTGTATGAACTAGGTAACCTATCAAGAATCTTGATATAGTACCTGGGATTTGGGTTTATCAAGTGAAACACTGAATCCAAACCCTTGTGTCCACTAGCTGTTGATCCATAAAACATGCTAACCTGCACATCAATAGCAATAGGCACTATCTCATCAGTTATCTCTGCAAATAATGGACTAAACCTCAGTAGATAGGGTTCCCTGCATGTAGTTCCTTCAGGACAAACCACAAGGTTGCCTTTCCTCAGCATCCTCTCCATTGTATTCCTATCTTTCTCCCGATTTCTTGTTAATCTTACTGTCTTTATTGGGGAAATCACCTCACTGAATTTACTTAAGCTGTAGGTAACTGCAGTTATAGGCTTCATCAGAACTATTGACAGAAAAACTGGGTCTAGTAGAGTCCTGTGGTTGCATACATAGAGCTTGCCCCCTGCTGCCTTTCCTTGTCCTCTTGAAGTATCTGAGAGTTTTGATGTTGTGGTTTTAATACCAAGCCAGGCAGTTATAGAAGACTGCAACTTGTATGCCAGTAATTTGCCCGCGCCGTATCTCATGATGCATAGGACAAATCCAAACGGAAGCCACATGAACATGACTAAGGTGGCCAGTGGTGTAGGCCTGAAGGCCAGCCTTCCATCATGGAAGATCAGTGGCTTTGGATATTTGGCTCTTGGAAGGATCTTCCAACTCCCTTTGTCTGCTTCTGTTACCAAGTAAACCTCCTGTTGCATCATAAATTTAATTAGTTAATAGCAATAGAAGTAGAAGCATGTTGCATTCAGCTTTAAGAGATATCTTACATCCCTAGTGTTACCGACCTTGCAATGTGAAAAGAGTCGACGATGAAGGGAGCTGTTGCAGTTGCAGCATCCAAATCCTATGGCTCGAGAAGTCGTTTTCTTGTCAAAGAAAAGTTCATTGACAACTCCGTCTTCCTTTGTTTCTTCCATTAGACCCACAAAATACCCGTTAACCACCTTTAACCCCCTCCCACAGACTGCTTCAATTCCCAAGTAATCTTTCACAAACCCTTCAACCATGACACTAGGCAGGTCGCTGACTGCTATCCTCCTTTCACAGCTCATCACTACATCAAACCCTTCCCACCCCACATCTTCCAAGAAGAACTTGGGCAAAACTGCATTTCCAATTTTAAACTCATGCTTTCTAATACCAACAAAGCACACAAAAACCATGATCTTCGTTGCCAGCTCCTTCCCGGCCATCAAAACTAGAGGGTATAGAAGAAGCAGAGCCAAGGCTCTGAACAACCCTCCAGCTTGAAATGCCACGAGCATGAAGTAGGGAAACAACGAAGACGACTTCAAAAGTGCATCCTCCAAGTGAAAAATCATTGTTTTGTTGGAAAGTAGTGATCTATCGAGGGCATGTTTCTGAAACCTCAACTGGGTTGCGTTCTGAGGATGGCTGCTTCGTACACTGTTTCTGATGTATGATTCAAACAAGACAAGAGCTCTTAATGGGTGGGACTTGGTAGCCATCTTCTCTTCTGTTGCCGTTATCTGCCAATGATGGGCGGGCTATATAGACAGGCAGATCAAGTCACATTTTTCTTCCTCCCCTTTTTTACACTTCTGAAAAAGAGATAATCATTCCACAAGATGATTGGGGCACAGAGGTAGGTAATGAGTTTATTTAACTTTTTTTATTCCTTCTTCGGTGAAAGAGGTAGGCAATAACTTTCTTTGGGACAAAAGTAGTTTAATAAGGACTCGAACTTTTCTCATTTTACTATACAAGGAGTCCAACTAATAATTTTCCTAATCAAATAGTTGATCTTTATTTACTATCCAAGGAATGATTGGATGATAAATGGTGACGTGGCTAGGAGATGGACGATGGTTGATGGATCATTCACTCCAATGACTGTTAAATAACTCAAATCTATGCTGAAATGGTACAAAAAACTCTACACATTGGATAAAAAAGTGATAAAGGTTGGTAATGGACTAAAGATGCAGGTATTCTAGTTTCGGGCAATGATATTGGGTATTCTTCTTAACCATCTCCATTAGCTATATCACCATTTGCCATCCAATTACTTCTTGTATGGTAAAATTGTAAAGATCAACTACTTGATTAGGACAATTAACAATTGGACTCCTTGTGTAGTAAAATAAAAATTGTTCAGCTCCTTATTAGCTACTTTTGCCGTTTCTTTAGTACGTTTGGAGTCCATAAAGTAGTATTACCATAGTAGCTATAACTTAAAAAATTGAATTTATTAATAAATATTATTTTATAAATTAGTTTTAAATTTTAAATTTAATATCTAAAAATATTAATATCAAGTGAGGTGGGTTTGAAGGGTGCAAATTAAGTGCAGTCCCTAGACCTATATCCAAATGAAAAAACTAAATAAACAAATAAAGGTGGGGGACAGATGCATAGACGAAAATTTGTGTATGGTACAAGTGACGTGGGTTTCAATGGTGCTAATTAAGTGTAGTTTTTTTCCGCTAAGCAATCC